CGATAAGTCTCCTGAACACTGATTATCAAATATTACCATCTGTTTTTAGCAGGAAGGTTGAAAATAACTGTTAAATGTTTGTATTGATTCAGATCAAAATGCATATCTTTAGGACGTGTTGTTGGGAACAATATTCATTTCATCGATGTGGTAATATGTTCTTTTGAAGAAAAAAATAATTCCAGAGCTTTTATCTTTTTGGATCTAGAAAAGGCTTTCAATCAATTAAGTTGGGATTTTCTTTATAAAAGTTTAGACAAATCCGGGGCTGTTATCTTTTTGGATCTAGAAAAGGCTTTCGATGAAATAAGTTCGGATTTTTTAAATAAAAGTTTAGAAAAATTAATTTTGGTAGTATATTTATTGGATATACAAAATGTTCAAAGTTGTATCGTTAATAATAATTGGCAATCATCTTTTTTTTCTCTGCAACAGAAGGACCCAGTTAATTCAAGCACGCATCTGCTAATGCATACACCGGAGCGTACCAGGACAATTACCCCCTTGAAAATCACCCCCGGAAAATTACCCCCAAGGACAATTACACCCCGAAAAATCCCCCGGAGATTTACCCCCCGAGGACAATTACCCCACCCCCCCCCCCCCCGAGGCCAATTACTCCCCGAGGACGATCACCCCCAGGAGGACAATTATCCCCTGAGGAAATATACCTCCCCCCACCCCCGAGGACAATAACCCCCGAGTTAGGACGACACCTTATTCTGTGAGTTATTAAAGGTGTGTGCTTGTTTTTAAAGGGATAGTTGAGTTCTGTTTTCAGACCGCAAATGCCTTTAAAGTGCATGGTTATTGCTCTTATTCCTATCTATGACATTTCTAGTGACCTTTAAGAACCTAAAATTGCTTTGAAGGTAATTTTAGCCCCCAAAATGTGTGAAATTTAGCCATACGATGATACCAATTCAGCTCCACTTTAAAAAAAAATGCGGTGACCGTTAATTAATTATTTAATTAAAAATAACAGTACGTGGGCCGGCTGGTTGTGCGTAATATAACCAACACGAAATTGTTTTCAACGTCTCTGTTTGTTGTTTTCACCCTTCTTTTTCTCAGCCACTTCTTCATCCCTTATCTTCCAAGACCAGATTGTATTTATTACGACTATACTCTTAGCTCATATTAATAAAGTTAGTTATATACCTCACTTAAGAAATCCAGCCATCTGATTGGTCGAAATTACAGTCATGGTTTTAGCCATTCCCGTAAATAAACGAAAAATGCCAAACCCATGTAATAGTTTAAGGGTAAAATCCCGGCAAAATTTCAATTACTGGGAAAATGTTCACTCTTGCTGAAATACCCATTGGTTTAAGCGAGCGCGGATACCATACATTGTGTGTGTGCGAATTGGTCGCTAGGCAAGAACACCAAAAGGGTACGTGAATTAGTCTTATTATTAGCCGTAGATCTAGGTCTAGATATAGATTGTGATGTAATTGTTTGCGATAACGGTGATACAGCTATTGAAAATTGTATAATACAAATGTTTGAATTCATTTGGTGGATGAAAAGTTGAATTGTACGCCGTTTTGTGCGTCATTGCAGCGCTGAATTTGGTGTGTTTGTCGCTAATTTCTGACAAATTTAGATAGCTTTCCTGATGGTATGTCATACAAAATTTGTATTATACTGATAAGCACTGATTCTTGTTCTTACCTTTGACTTGTTTACTGTCTGTTATAGTAATTTAATAGATGAATTATTTGAATTCTAAGCACAATTCAGTAACACACAAAATCCAGCCCGTTTATAGTCCCACACACGTATTTTTATGTACCTTGTGCCCTTACACTGCTTAGTCTGCTGTCAAAGACCCTATTAGATATTCAACAAACTAGAGAATTGCCAAGGGGTTTCATAAGTTGACTCTTTTTTCAGTATATAAAAGTAATAATGACTGCTTTAATTTTCGAAACATAGTTGTTTTTATACGCTCTCGGGGAGGTTACAATCGAGCTAATAAAAACAACTATGTCTCTCAAAGCAGTCATTACTACTATACTATAGGCTCGTAGTACGAACCAATACGTTTCATCGACTTACTTTTCACTCCCTCGGTTTCTCTCTCTCTCTCTTTCTCTCTCTCTCTCATACACTCTTTCTCCCAATCTCTCCCATTATCTCTCTCTCATTTTATTTTCATTCTCTGTCTGTTGTTTTCACCCTTCTTTTTCCCAACCACTTCTTCTTCCCTTATCTACCAAGACCAGATTGTATTTATTACATTTATGGGTAAACTGTATACATGTAAGACTCTTACACGGTAATGGTAGCTTAAATTCTGTCATCTTTACTATCATGACTATCTAAAATCAAGCATCATCCTATCTCTCTTTATCTCCAATTATTTTCGTATTTATCCCTATTATTCTCTCATGTATCATTCCCCCCTTAATCCTCGCAATACTTATGTAGGTATATGTGTCTATATGATAAGGCGTGTGTATTGCAAATGAAGAGGAAACAAAAATTGGATTCTTTATAAAGCTAATAATATGAAGTCCATGATCTAATATGAATATTGTAACAACTAAGATTTTGCTGAGTGATATCCCCAATTAAGACAGATCTAATATGTTATCGAAACTTAATGCGATCTCTTAATTTCTTTCCACTCTCTCTCTCTCTCTCTCTCTCTCTCTCCCTTCCTTTGCCCAGCCTACCTATTATTATCTCATCTTTTCTCCTCTCCCTTTGAATTGCACCCAATATTGTTTTATGTAAGTATATTTACTTACATAGGTGTATTGTACATGCATTCGTTGTTGTTTTTAGAATAATGTTTACCCTTGAATCTATTGCGAACACTTCAAGCAAACAAAATTATTTCATTTAACTCGAAAACATATATTTATCTGAATTGTCTCACTCTTTCTCTTTCCTTCTATCTCTCTCTCTCTCTCTCTCTCCCACCACTATGTGTGTATCTCTATCACTGTCTCTCTATTTTCTCTTCTATTCTCTTCCACACATACTGAGTAGATGTATTTCTCTGTAGACATTGCACTCTCAATTGCAAAATACAATACAACTATTATATATATGTTATTCCCCTTTCATAGGGTTACTTTATTAAATAATATAGTTCACATATGTATATAAGAAGGGATCCATACATGCGGAATTTCAAAACTAGTATAAACATGTTTTTTACCATTCCACAGGGTTCCTTTGTTAAATATTATCGTTCATATGTATATTAGCAGGGATCCATTCCATACACGCGGAATTTCAAAATGATATTCTTGGCCATTCAAAATATGAACATAAATTTAAAGATATCACTTATTAATTGAAGTTTATTTTTAAAATATCACAAGTTTTGACCATATTTCATTTGAATAAATACAGTTACAAGTATCTGGGACAAACTTTGAAAATGGAGGACACCACAAAAGAAGAAGTTATGATGAGAGTAAAAGAAGGATGGATGGACTTTGGAAGATACAAAGACATGCTGACCGATAAAAACATACCCATGTCACTAAGAAGAAGAATGGTCAACCAATGCATTCTAACAACTATGTCATATGGATCAGAAACATGGTCATTGACAAAGAATCTAGTACAGAAGCTTGTGACTACTCAACGAGCTATGGAGAGAAAGATGTTGCATTTAGCTCTGCGAGACAAAATCAACCACAAAGTCATACGCCAGAAAACAAAGGTTAAAGACATCATGGAGAAAGTCAGAGAATCAAAGTGGAGATGGGCTGGGCATGTAGCAAGACTTCAGGACAATAGATGGACAAATCGTTTAACAGAATGGCAACCAAGGGTGGGAAAGAGAAGAAAAGGAAGGCAGAAGAGAAGATGGAGATATGACCTAACATCATACATGGGAACGGCCGCTTGGACCAGGACAGCTAGAGACAGAAGAGAATGGAAATTTCGTGAGGAGGGCTTTTTCCAACATCTGGATGAACTATAGCCTGATAGATAGTAACAAAATATGTGTATAATCGTTTTTTCACTGTTAAATCTAAATGTACATAGGTTATCTGTAACTAATTCAAATCTTAACAAAGTATCTTTCATAAATAGAATTATATGCACTTGAACTGAAAATGTTTACATCGACAGTTGAATAAAAGGGAAGTTTGTAATATGAATTCCATACGGTATTGTCAAAGTCAAACCCCTGTTTCCACTTTGTAAGACCTTTACATTCCTTTGCCTTATGCTTCAATAAAGAACGGTAGCTATGTAAATACAACTTTTATATTATCATCTTTTTGTTAATAATTATTTGCATGTTTTTTTTTAAACAGCTTAAAAAAATTTAAGAAAGAAAATACACACCAAATCACTTTCAAAATATCTTGACCTGGGGTCAAGATAGAGGTGATTCACTGATTTCAGTGGAAATAAACACTTCCTCTATCTAACTCTCAACCAGTCGACCCGAATTACTAATCGTACATAGATCAAAGACACCATGGTTTAGAGATGGGGGAGTTCTCTCCCAGAATTAATTACATTCTGATGCTTCCTCTTCTTATTAAAGGCCATATCTTGTAGTTCCCATTTAAAATTAATGATTAATATGGGGCTTAACTAAAATTTCATAATGTCGTTTTTAAAATAAAATAACTATTGTGGCTTTTAAGCAGAGTGAGAAATGAAGTATTATTGAGGAGGTGTCAAGAACTCATGCTTTTGTTATTGCTATAAATCATGAGTGTATCGCATAGATACAGAAACACACGGTGAGGATTTTTGCAAAAGAGAATTTAAACCACATTAAAGATCAGAACGTTTTGAGTTCCAGATATTCTCAATAACATCGACATATTGGCGACCCGAGCACATTAACTTGTTTTTATCATGATAATGTAAAACATACATGTATATCAAACTTTAGAAATTTAAGAGAAATGACGCCATTTGAATCGCTTGGAGAACGAGGTATTAACACTTCTCACAAAAAATGATTTATTGGATTTTTTTACTAGCCATTTTCGTTTAGCTCACATAAAATCTGGTAATTTGCTTTTTAAAGAACTTGCTTATAATTCCTTTACAAAATCTGTAGACGGTGGCTTTCGCTTAGAAGGAGGATCATCAGGTGTATTTTCAGTTTTTAAATCTATAGATGGCAATTTCTCCTTCCTCTTTAACCCAACATCCTTACTCGGTTTTAAGACTGTTTCAATATGCTTTCTATACACAAAACACAAACAAATTGTTGTTGCTAGCCCTATAAATACTATTGCTAGGGTTACAAGGGAAATATAGATCCAGAGATTTTGAGTAAATATGGGAACATTTTCACCTTGAGAAATGCTCGATAATGTTGTCTCTGAAGAGTAGATACTTGTCTTAGTAAATGTTGACTTTAAAGAAGTTTTTTCATTCATTCCGTTCAAATTTTCCCTTTGTAATACAAATTCATGGCATTCATGTGACATAGTACTTGCGTGGTTTTTGGCGCAGCAGTATGCAGAAGAATTTGGCCTTATCCAAATTTCTCGAATAATGTGAGTGTCATTTTCTCCAACATCTCCCCTTACAGGTATTTCAACATTTTGAGAATCTAAACAAACGATTCTGCCACGAGGGCTTCCTCCTGTAGCTGAACATTTCAACATTTCCCACTTGCTCTCATTCGTAGGGTAAACACGACATTCAACTCTACCGGGAGGGAAATGCACATTCAGAGCTACTGCCTGCATTCTCCTAAGTGAACCAAATTGACAATAGTATGTTCCACCGTCAGTTCTACTAACCCTATTAATTATCAAGTGTATAATTGTGTAACTTCTGGATTCTGAATGCCATGCATTCACCTCAAATCGATGAAGTTGACTCAGTGATAAATGTTTATCTACAAATTGTCCTTCTGTAAAGAAAGGTAATCTTTGGCCTATTCCTAATGTGAAAGGAGCGGGGAACTCGGATTCAAATCGAAAACCCATGAGAGCTACCATCCCTTCAGATGTAGCAACTTCAGATGAATTTTCAAGAGCATAGGTAACTGAAATTAGCACTATTATATATAATAGTTTCATATTAACAATAAAACAGCGAAAGAACATATTATTTGATCAAAGAATTTTAACTAATCCTGGAAATAAAGAATTATACATGTAATTTAAACGCAAAAATGAAGTACAATATTGTCAACTAACGAATGCCAATAATTTCCACTATTATTCACTACACATTTCCATTTACGTGCAAGTGTTTCGATTTAAGAGTAACATCCAGAGAAGGAAGCAGATTGAAGCCGGGTGGGGATCTCGAAAGAGGTTAACACTCCGTTGCAAACAAGCTGGTTATCTGCCAATATCTTCGATCAATAGTACAAATCTGTAGAAAGTAGACGGAGCAACGATTACAGATATCCTTCCTGGTCATTTTTTATGTTAAAATCTAATCCTCATAAAAAAGTGCAATTCTGATAAATATGATTGTCATCCATATTATAGGATATTTGGGATGGTAATTTTTATACAGGAGATATATTTTATAAGATGTATTTTTTTAAAATTTTCATTACAAATTCATAATAAATCATTAATCAAAGCTCAAATTTGCATACATTTAAAGTGCAAAGGAGGTAATCTAATACAAAACATATTCATTCAGTTAGAAAAAAAAACTCTCATTTTGCCAATATCTTTACAATATAGAACACGTTTTGTTATTCTGTTCTATATTTAAAATTTCGGAAGGATCCGAATCGTTTATGATTCTGTCAGCTTACCACACAAACCCTGTTGTCGGACGATCATAAACTTAAACGTGATGTTTCTGTTTATATGTTCTACTATACATTCTAAATACCATGTGAGGCGTTAAAATTATCAGATTATACGCGCCTTTCCCTAAATACATTTTCAGTAGGGTACATGTAGCTCACAGCGGTGATAAAAATAATAGTCAGTATGATTTATAAATTATTTTTAATCACTGACTCAAGCTTAACTCAACTTTTTCACTTACCACTTTATATTGATGCTCACGATTTTGTGATATTCACATGGAATGAAGATAAAATTCAGATGATCCCAATTTTCCAATCTATGAATAAAGAGGCCAAAATCTAGTCAATGAAAATGTACAGAAATCTCAATACCCACAATGAAGAAACTATGAAATTCACATATGAATGGCATATACCTCTATATGCAAAATGTGTCCTCGCCGAAAACCAGAGGCTTTCATTTAAACCTACTATGCGTGGTATGCAAGGATGAACATTTCGTTTCATTTATTTATTTAAACAGCCCGCGGCCCGCGGACCGTTCTTCCATAGGTCCGTGTATATACATAACAACATACAATATCAAAATAACTTATATACAACATAATTCAACATAATAATGATAACATAAATATATACAAAACAAATATAACATACACTTAAAATACATATGAAATATTTAAAGGGGACGGGGATTACTCATTAATGGCTCTTGATTCCATATACTAATGTACGATTACGATTGGAATTCATAATAGATAATTCACGTTTAAGTTCTGGTGAGATTGAGTTCCAGCACTTCGCACCGAAATAGCTGAAACTCTTTTTCTTAAAACACGTTTTTAATGTTGGTAGTAAGAAATTATTAATTGAATTACTCATATTATAATTACATTTGTTAGTTCAAATAAATTTAGCAAGTAATTAAGACAATTATGATTAGCAATGTTATACATCATGTAAAGAGCATGTTTATCTCTTCTCTTTTCTAAAAAAAATCAAGCTTTAACTGCTGATACAGGGAAATTCTAGAATATCTGGCATCAACTTTTAATACCATTCGAAGGGCTCTATTCTGAAGAACCTGAAGCTTCCTAACATATTTTTTCTTTATATTTCTCCAAACCACATCACAATATTCTAGTTTACTTTGTAATATTGTTTTATAAAACATAAGTGCAATATTCTGAGATATATTTTTCCCTTTCCTTGAAATAGGTTCAGCTTTTTGATAATATATTTTCTCAGAAAATTAACATATTGATCCCAATCGAGATTGTGATATATATATATATATATATATATATACCTGGGTATTTGCAATGATGTATCTGATTGAGTTTTACATCATTAATATAAATATTAATCGTTCGATTTTTAACTTTGGTTCTAGATCCAATTAACATGACCTCCCATTTTTAAGTATTGAGAAATAATTTGTTTGAATTCAACCATTTTAAAAGACGTATAACATCAGCATTAATGACATTTTCAATAGTTTCTGTAGTTTTACCACGGTATTATGCATGTGTCATCAGCGTCATCAACGATATACTACATTTGTTAATACAATTTGATAAATCATTAACATAGATGGTAAAAAGCAGGGGGCCTTAATTGGCCCCCTGTGGAATTCCACAAATTACATTCAATTCGTCTGATCTTACACCATTTACAAACGTGTACTGTCTTCTATCAGTTAGGTAGTTAAGGAACCATTCACAAGCCCTTTTGTCAAGTCTAACATGGTCAACCGTATCGAAAGCCTTTTTAAGGATGACGAGAGTATCGTTATACAGCCTTTAGCCTGATTAGGAATAATATGTTAAATATGTTTTCCAACACCTCTACTTACATCATATGCAAGCAGTACAATGACACATTTATTATAGAATTATAGAATAACATTGAAAATAAATGCCCAATACGATTTTAATACTTACATGTACGTACATAAACACGCAATCGAGGGCAAAACTTACTAAAGAAATGAAAAACACAAGCAGGAACCATTTATGAGCTAGTTATGTCTGTAAATGTTCTTCTGAAATGCTGGGCAGCAGAGAAGATATAGAATGTAGAGACTCATCAGCACACAACCATGTTCTGACTATGTTGAATAGTGTGACCAAATAGAAGACATAAACAGCATGTATAAGAGGTAATATAATTGAAGTCACATGCACAGATATTGTTTGCTAAACACTTCGAATTCCTATGGGTATTGTTAAGTATGACATCGTGTACCTTGTGGCACTTAATAAATACACTAAATACATAACGGATCAAAGTTTCCACTAGAGTGCAGACACACCAGTGGAAACGAAAGGACTGGGGTGAAGGCACTTGTTGACATAAAGGGGAGAAGGAGGGCTACGTCAATACTGATTCCGAAGTATAATTGACTGAGGGGGGGGGGGCGAGGACTTGGATGTTCTTTTATTTATTAGCAAATTATGATTTTGACTTAATGGTGATATTTCTTTTCACCATGTCAATAGCAACGCCACAATATATTCATAGCTATAGGCGCGTCAACAAGGCGAGGGAAGGAAACAATTCGGCATTTATTTAGTATCGATTGAAAGCGTTTCAACATTTTCATTCTTACTTGTTTAAAGATATTTTATATTGGATTTCAATGCATAATCACGACAATTTGCAAGAAATCGCTTTACTTGGGCAATATGTCCCCATTTTCTCCCTTATTTTTACTTTCATAGTGTTCATAGTAATTGTCACAATGCATCAAAATCTACAATTTCAAAAAAAATAATTCATAACATTATAGAAGAGAATTGGTTATCTTTGTTTTTGTTCAACTCGTATGGTTACTTGTGACCCGTGTTGAACTGTCAGGGCTACAAAACTCGGGACCGAAAGCCCGCGAGAAACTGAGGGTCTCAAGGGCCTAATTCTCAAATATTCTAAGAGGGTTCTCCTGATGAACAACCTACGGCACCTACAATTTCGGTCTATTGGGCAAACATGGGAGAGGGGGGATATCATGAGACCGACCGAAAAATAAGGAGCTTATTTTCGACTTCCACGTCTCCCATTTTGCATTTTGTGTTTTTTGTATTTCCTTTTTTGAGTCTTGGCGTTTTGGTTAACCTTTCAAGTGCCGCCCAGGAAACTTGCCCCATGCCTCATGCCCACTCTATATCTTATATCCTGAGAAGTTAGATACAATATAGACACAGATGTAGAGGATTGGCTATGGGAATTTTTTTTTTTAAAGTTCGTTATTTTGAATGTAACGTGTTCTGTTGTTGCTTTCATTACGGAGCAGTGACAATGTTCTAGGTGTATGGCAAACAAAAACATAATATTGTTACCTGCATGTGTGTCGATGCTTGGAGGCACAGTCGCGTTAACTCTCGACATTCACTTGCCCCTTTGTTATCCTTCATCTGATTTTGGAAATACAGATTTCAAGTCATATGAAGTAAGTGTTTAAATTTCAATCTTCAAGTTATGCTAAGAGCGCATCAAACGGTATCAATTTTCTGAACATGCCATAAAAAACATGTAAAGTAAAGTCATCAAGCTTCTTTCTTCCAGTCCACCTTCTCAATGAATATGCAATTGGGAAAGGCCTAAATGTAGCCAAAAAAAATTCGGTAATTTATCAATTATACGGAATTCAGTCTCCTCATACTTTTGATCTAAGAAGAAAGCGTCATCACTTTTCAATAAATCGATATTTCAGGTACATTAATTTTTGTGAAAGAAAATTCATTTCACTATCCACAAGAACTCGATGTGTCCGAAGAGCTACTGCTTGTTAACTGACAAGTGTATCTCTCAGAGTATATGCTGTCTAAAGAATCACTCGATGTACTATTATAGTTTTGAAGGGCTATTTCCTCAGTCGTAGAATCAAATTGAACATTGGGCATCTCATAAAATGGATCTGTGCCTGTACAGTCATCACTAGCTTCATTCACATCCGCAGAGACTCCAGTTGGTTCAATACCCGTGATATCTCTCTGTTCTTTTAGACTATGACTCCAAAATATGAATACTGCAACTACAAATATAACGATGATTATTACTACAGCGCCGAATACCAGAAAATCAGCATATTCTAGTATCAATGACTTTTTAATCATTTCTGTTTTGTCTTTATCTGTCGATAAATGAATCATTTTAGTGCTATCTATGTCATTAGTGTCTCTCGTCAGTGTAACTTCTGGTAACTTTGTATATAGACCAACATTTAATAAATATGTCGATTTTCCATTAAAGCCTGTCGCATTTTGCTGGTTAAATGTCCTATTGTCCTGCAATGCGTAGTCCCGGTTAACAAACATTTGAGGTGAAAATGTATTTGGATGGTCGGGCAATCCTTCTGAGATCTGCGACTGAATCTTAGTTTCTCCGTTTGCAATCACCACTGAACATGTATCCCAGGTTATAAAATTAATCCCTACTAACCCCTCAACCTTACAAAATACAACTTTTCCCTCGTCAGAGGTGGACGCGTTGTAATTCAGATTTACACCGAATAAAGGTAATGATGCCATAGTCATATATTTTCTAATAGATGTAAGAAGAGTTCCTCCTAGGTACAACTTGAATTTCACATCAAATTTGTCTACCGGAACAATCAAGAAGCAAGAAAATTCCAATGAATGATCAAATACGTTACTTGGTTTTATATCGAGATGAAGAAACTGGTGACCATCGTTTTCTGATTCATTGCAGGTCCCATTATAATGACCAACTGGATGAATTGTTAAGTTTGAACTATTTGTTGAAAATCCAACGGAATTTGAAACATTGCAAGTAATTTTTAATTTTCTTAGTGTATTATTTGTACTCTCATTTGACGCAATATGAACATCTAAAATATTTGCAGAGCTTTCACACTGGTGAGATGTTTCCTCAGAAATGCATGACCACCAGTAAGTGAAGTTCGCAGGAAATCCTCTCGCAATGCATTTGAAACGTATGGATCCTTCACTGGTAGCTTCAATAGTAGCTAGGGCTGGGTAAATAAGAACTCGTGGCACTTGCAGCACTACAATTGGCCCCAAGCTACACGTACGTTTTTCATCTGGGAAAGCTACAGTACTAGTTGCTTGACATAAAATATGTTTGAGGTGTAAGTCTCGAGTGATGGCAAGATTTACTTCAATTACCCTGAGGAGCCCATTCGCATGTAGAACTGGAAAGGCAATATCCCTGTTATTAACATATGTCCAGCGTAGGTCTACAGGCGGGTTACCTCGAGGTGATGCACATCGAAAAGAAACTATTTCCCCTTCGTGAAATCCGTCAGTTAATGGAGGCCCACATGACAGTT